ATAAGTGCAAAGCTGCTATTTCCTCTTAGATGTAGGCAGAGACCAAGAAGAAAGCACTGACGGCCTGTTTTATAGGGTATAATGTATCACACCTAACCTTTAGAATCATAGGACAGGTTTTTTTATCCCTATTAAACAATTGAGGATATTGAGGTTCAGAAAGGTTACGAAGCTTGCGTAGAATCACCCTGCTAGCAAGAGCAAAACAGAGAGATGCAAACCCACGTCCACTTGGAGCTCCTTTCTCCGTCCCACTGTAATATCACCAGCAGGGCTGTGGTTGGGTTCTAATCAAGTAGACAGGAAAATAAAATTCATTTCAAGTGCCAGGTGGGGTATGTTCACACAACAAATGGTGCCTAATACTATTACTGACAATCACAGATTCGAGAGGCCAGGGTCCCAGACACTGAACGTGCTGGTCCACAGCTGTACACTAAAGGTATATTTGAAGTTTAGGGTATGAACCTTGACTTTCTGCTGAGCTGAGCATTAGCTAAGTTCAGTGCCGGGACTGGAACCCACCCTCTGTAGACCCACACCACCCATGCGAAGTGTCTCAGAGCTCCCACAACACCACCACTCTCTAGCACCATGGAAGCCACAGCTTGGCAAAGCAGCCTGTTCCGATGTTCTCGAGCTGTTGTGAGCTAGTCCTTCATGCTTTGCTGAAACCTGCTTCCCTGGTCTCTCTCATTCCCTGGAATCAGTCCCACTCCGGCCTGAAGTCTCTCCCCCTCTTTGAAGCGTCACTCATCGACTATTTGAAGACTACTGTGTCCCTACTCTGTTGTGCCTTTCTCAGATAAGTGTCTCCTGACCCCTCAAGTGGGGAATGGTTTCTCAGCCCTGCTCATCATCCTGGTCTGCTGGGTCTTGATGCACCTGGTCAGTGGGCCAGGAGCTGGGCCTTCCCCTCCCCCCCGACCACGGCCTGAGTAGCACCAAGGTCCACTGGGCTGCAGCCTCCATTGTCCGGGACTCTGTTGTGCAGCTTATGCAATGGCTATGTCACCACATCATCTTCAGCCTGTAACAAACTGGGGTCCACAGTCCCCTTTGTAAGAGGACTGTAATGCAGCCACCACCCCTCGGCATACCCCACAGCCAGCTGTCTTCATCACAGACACTGGGTCTGCAGGCACAGCTCCCAGGTCTCACAGTGCTGGACAGCAGGTCATCAGAGCCGGGGACACGAGCTTATCTAAAGTGTCCCTCTGCTCTCTGGATCCCTTTTGCTTTGTAGGCTTCCGTGCCCTCAGCCCTGTTTACTCATCACTTTGAAGCTGCAGGGTGTTTTTCCGGTAAAAAGGGGAAAGAAAGAGGGGCATCACTACATTGCAAGGTTTTAGTCACTCTGAGGTCAGGCCTTCTTTCTGCTTTCAGTGAAGGCAGTAACCACGTTTCCAGGGAGTGAAACTCTGAGCGACCGCTCTGTAAGGAGGAAATGGGGGGCGCCTGGGTGGCTCAGTGGGTTAAAGTCTCGGCCTTCGGCTCGGGTCATGATCTCAAGGTCCTGGGATCGAGCCCTGCATTGGGCTCTCTGCTCAGCAGGGAGCCCGCTTTCCCCCCTCCCACCGCCTCTCTGCCTACTTGTGATCTCTGTCTGTCAGATAAATAAATAATCTTAAAAAAAAAAAAAAGAGGAAATGGCTGTCGTGGTTCCTATCATATAGAAAGAATCAGGAATGGAAGGCTATTGGGATTCAAACAGTGCACCCAAGTTCACACGGAAAGAGATGGGTTCATGAGTCAAGTTCAGGTCCTGGGATTCCAAATCCTGCATGCTTCCTACTACACCAAACTCGGAGGAAAAGATGTGTATAGATGGGGCCAGGGGGAGATGGAGGGGATGGCAAGAAAGACTCTCCTTCTGCACATACCGAGAGCCTGTGGCTGAGCTAGCCCCAAGCTGAGCAGAGAAGTGAAGCTGAAAGCCTCCATCTGGTCCCAGGCCGTGTAGACAACAAGTGTGACATCGTGTGAGTCACATGCCAAGCAGCCACATCTCAAGCCCCCAGTGAGAGGGTCTCCACCCACAAAGGATGCAGCAGGGCCTGAGGACAGCTGGCCTGACTGTGCTTGGCCATGTGCCACTCCTTGCTTCACACCTTGTCCCAAAGTCTAGAACACTCTCCACCATTTCGTGTCCAGCTGTGCCGCCCATCCCGTGGGCTACTCACGCCCATCTAACCTCATCTGCCATCATTTCGTGGGTTGGCCTGTCTTCCCAGGCTACTTTTGCTCCTCATTCATTTAAAAGCATTAGGGGCACTGGCTGGCTTCGTCGCGGGAGCATGTGACTCTTGATCTCACAGGCATGAGTTCAGGTCCCACACTGGGGCATGGACCCTACTTAAAAATTTTATTTTTAATTAAATAAAAATAAAAATTCTGCTCTGAGCAGCCTAGTTCACTCAGGAGAGCGTGTGACTCTTGATCTCAGGGTTGTGAGTTCAAGCCCCGCATTAGGTATAGAGATTACTTAAAAATAAGATCCTAAAAAATAATAACAAAATGATAAATAGACAGACAGACAGCTAGAAGCATTAGGGGCGCATATAAAGAATTGCAAGCTCAGTGTTTGTCATCCCCCAACTGATGGAGCCACCAGGCCGGGTCCCTCATCCTTTCATGATTTCTCACCTCCTTTGCCTGTCACTTCCATGCTGGGCCCTCCAGAGCCCTGTGGACAGATCAGGCCGCCAGACGGCACGGTCTGCCTTAGCTGTCTGAGTTCTGCAGGTGCAGATAGGAGCTCAGACACCGCCCCCTGCCCCTTGCAAGGGTCTACTCTTCTGTCTCCTACTTCATATGCCCTGTCCCACGTGGCTGGGCACAGAGGAAAGCCTGCGAGTGTTTGTTAACAGAGGCTTGTGGAACACAGACTATTCCTGGCACAGATCCCAGGCGCAGGTGACGTGACTGTGAAGAAGACAGGCAGAGTCCATGCTCTCGCGGAGTTTACATTCTAGACAGGGGGGCGGGGTAACAAGTAGGCAATTTACAGAATAAGATAACTTCAAACAAAGCCAAGTGCTCTGATGATAACACAGTGGGGGGGTTGTAATAGTGATTGAGGAGGATTATTTCAACTGTGGGTCCCAGAAAGACAGACCTAAGGTTGTGACATTTGAACTTAGATAGGGCAGAGGATTCTAAGCACTGGGTCCAACATAAAAGCTGGTGGCTGGGGGGCTGGGGGATGGAGTGGCTGGAGGGCTGAGTGGCTAGGGGCCTGGGGAGCTGTGGGGCTGGGTGTTTGGGTGGCTGGGAGTCTGGGGAGCTGGGAAGCTGGCAGGCTGGGGGGTTTGGGGGCTGCATGGTTGGGGGGCTGAGGGCTGAGTGGCTGGGTAGCTAGGTGGTTAGGTAGCTGGGTGGTTAGGTGGCTGAGTTGTTGGGTGTCTGGATGAGTAGGTGCCCAGGGGACTGGGTGGTTGGTTTATTGAATGGGTATGAGCACCCATTCCCGAGGTGACAGGCCTCCTTGTGAAAAAGTTCTTCATGCTGCTTACCCTAATTCTATCACTCTGTTCTCTTACAGTTCCCTGTGTTAGACAAACCGATGAGTCTTATATATGTCTTTTCCAACTCCAAATATAACTCTGGCCCAAAGCTTAATTGATGGGCCTTTGGGTCCCCTGGAAACATCTTCAGAGCAGCAGACTAGGCCCATTGCTCAGGAGTCCTGGCTGGTGCCCAGGCAGAAATGGGACCTGGGACCCCACTGGTCTCAGGCTGAGAGTAATTCTAGGTGATTCGGTTCCCAGCAAATGTCTCTGGGCCTCATCTTATTCCCTTGTAAATGGAACTGACCTCTGTCTCCTTCTCTCTGAGTGGCTCTAAAGTCCTATCTATGTTCTCCACTCACCAAGGCCCCGAACTCCCTTCTGTCCCTTGTGTGTTCAGAGAAGGCAGCTTTGTCCCTCAGCTCTCTTTGTCTTCCAGTCCCTCCTGACCTCCACGGAGCTTCCTATCAAGTAGGAATAACCCTGGCCTATGAACATCTTGATGGCCAGGGACACGTTCTGTGGTGCCAGGCTGGGGTGAGGGGTGCTGGGCAGGACGCAAACCCATGGTCCGCACTGCTAGAAAGAGCAGCGGCAAAAGCAAGGCTCAACCTTAAGTTCTGCGTGAGCCTCCAGTGGGGGGTGGAAGGGGGTCCTAAGGGCCCAGAGAGACCCAGGCAAAGGCTATTCTGGGGCTCCCATCCTTTCCCCACCATTGCTCTCAGCTCTCAGGCCTGGCTCCTGAGGCTGTCTGGGACCAGCGGTGTCTGGTTTGTCAAAGAAGTATGGCCTGGGGACAGGCCGGCCTGGGACTGCCCTGCAGAGGGTGCTGGGCCCCTGGGAGCTTGTCTCTTGTCCACATCAGACCATAGAATGCATTTTAGGAATGAGGACAGACAGGACAGGTCTCTCCCCAGAACGGTGGTGGAAGTGAAACTCCCTGCAGGGATGGGAGCTGGGCCTGGGGGCGTGGACAGGAGAAGCAGGAGCGAGCCCAGGCAGGGGCACTCCCCACGTCCCTGCCTCCGGCTTCTGGCTGGTGGGCTGTGTGCAGCTGTGCTCGGAAGTGGAAGCTGCACAGAGTTGCCCTGGGGCAGCCAGGCGGTGAGGAGCCCATCTGGGGGGAGAGAACTGGGTCAGAAGGAAGGAGGTAGAACAACGGACAGAAAGAATTTAACTGAACCCAAGCTGGGCGATGTTGGAAGGGCAGCTGGAAAGGAGCTGAGGAGGAGGTAGAAGGGAAGACCAGAGAGAAGGTTCAGGAAGAGTGGGGGAGGGGAGGGGACTAGAAGAGCAGGGAAGAGGAAGGAGGGAGGAGGAGGAGGGGAAAGGAAAGCGGAGACCCTTCCTCGGTCTGGCACGAAGGCCCAGGGGACGGAGTGGCCATGTAGGTGCTGTCCAGGAACCTCTATCCCCAGGGGAGGCCTGAGGCTAGGGGATGGAGGGAGAAAATGGGCTGATGGGATCCCATTCCTGTGTTTCACAGGCTAGTTGTACCTCCGAACCTTGCCAAACCCCACGTTTGAGGGCAACATCCTGACTCTGCAGTGCCAAGGATGGAGGAATGTAGCTCTGTCCCTAGCCAAGTTCTACAAAGACGGGAAATCACTCCATGACCCAAAGGCCAAACGGTTTCTGCCCATGGGGACAGCAACACTGGAAAGCAACGGCCAGTACAGCTGCACTGGGAAAGCAACCTTCCTCCCGCACCTAGGCACACAAAGGTCAGATATGACCACGTTTCAAGTCCAAGATGAGTCACCAGCTTCCAGGGGTCGGGGGAGTGGGGGCTGGGGTGCTGCTCAGGGATCTGGTCACTAGAGGCCAGCAGCTCTCCCTCTGCCTGCCCCAAATGCTGAGCCAATCACAGAGACCTGAGATGTCCACCATGCTGTCCAAATGCCCACCCCCATGGGGCACATCTGGAGCCCAGGGAAGGAGGGGGATGCCCTGGGCCGTGGAAGCACCCTGAACCAGCCCAGCCACTCAGTCCCAGAGACCCTGGGCCAGACCCTGCCCTCTGGGGACCAGATGACTGACAAGACCTTCTGGCTCTGGTTCAGGCAGTGTGGGGTACAGCTCAGAGGTGGGTCCTGGGGGACAAGGACAGTGTCTCCCATGGGACACGGGGCTGTGGCCTGGGATGTGTCCCAGCTTACACCCCCACCCCTGGGGACTCAGGATTCAGGAGTCCCCGCTGAGCCTGGGCCTGCTTCTCCCCAGAGCTGTTCCCACCTCCAGTGCTGTGCACCGTCCCTTGTCCCGAGCTCCGTGAGGGGAGCCCGCCGACCCTGAGATGCCAGACGGAGCTGCACCCCCGGAGGTCGGCCTCGAGTCTCCTCTTCTCCTTCCACAAAGATGGGCGCACCTCACAGAACCAGGGTCCCACTCAGAGCTCTGCCTCCCAGAAACCTGGGAGGGAGCCTCTGGGCTTTACTGGTCTCAGGCCACCACGGAGGGTAGCAGGTCCAGAAACAGAGCCCCCAGCTGGAGGTGAGGGTACAAGGTAAGTGGGGAGGAAAGGGAGACACTCCCCAGGGATCTGAGCTTCAGGTAATAGGAACCCAGGGCCCGTAGAAAGGGGTCCCCAGGGGAGGAGGGGCCAGGAGCCTGGGAAAGTAGAGCTGAGCCTCCCACCCCGCGTGCTGCCCAGCTCCTGTGTCCCAGCCCCTGAGACCCAGGTCCACAGGCCTTGCTGTGGGGACGCAGTGGAGCTCCTCTGTGAGACCCAGAATGGCTCCCCTCTGATCCTGTACTCATTCCACCTGAACGGGAAGATCCTGGGGAACCAGGGGGCTCCCCATGGAAGAGCCGCCCCCTTCCCCTTCACTGTGATGTCAGACCAGGATGCTGGGAACTACTCTTGCCAGGTGGAGAATGGTGTCTCCAATGAGACAAGTGAGCCCAGGACGCTCTCCCTAGATGGTATGTCTTGTCCCCCACCCGGGCTCTGAGCCCCAGGAAGCAGGCAGGGGTCAGGTCTCCCACTCTGTGCCCCACCCCCCACACTCTGCACTGCATGAGGGAGCATGGACCCTGCTTGGGTATCTGTGCACTGAACCTGGAGGGGAAGAGAGAGCTCCATGGGGGGCAGGGGTGGGTCCATGGTCCTCAGTGGTGTTGCCTGCCGAGCTGGTGTCCCCTGGACCACCCTCATTCTGTCTACAAGCCTCCTTTGGGCCACACAGTTCCCCCAATGCCAGCCATTCTGCCTCCTCCGTGCCCGTCTGGGGTGCATTTCTGAATTCCATCCTCAGTGCTCGTGGTCACCCCACCTCACCCCTGGGTCCTCGGGGCTTGTCTGCCATCAGCAGCAGCCCCTGGCTGGTTCCTTGTCTATCTGCGAGCCTCCCTGGTGTGCTGGTCGTTGCCACTGCACTTGTGGCTTACTTCAGACCCTGGGGAAAAACTGGTCAGTGACCTCTGTGACTTTCTTAGTGGCTGAGTCCCTGTGCCAGGCACCCCAGCCTTTAAAGAGCCAGCATCTCAGGGGACCAGCTGCTTCCTCTTCGGGTGCTGGGTGGGAGGAGGGACTTCTCTTTGCGTGTCACACAAAGGAGCCCATGGAGGGACTCTAACAGCTTCCAAAACACGCACACAGAGAGACACACTGTCTCACACCCACAGTCACGCAGAGATGCACAAAGCCACGACCGCAAACCTGGGCCTGAAAGGAGGATCAAACACAGGAACTTTCACCAGCCAAATGCAGTGCACATTGGAGTCCTTCATGTCTGAGAGACACTCTGGCTGTTGAATATGCCAGGAAAACCCCAGGCCACCAGCTCACAGTCAGACCAGAGCTCTGCTGAGCAGAGGAAAGGAGGGAATGAGAACCCCAGTGCCCATCTCTGTGCTCATGAGCACGCACCCATCTTGTCCGGTCCTGGGACCAAGGGAGGGCTCAGTGGACATTCACTCATGAGAAAGGAAACATGGCAGAGAGGATGGAGCGATGGCCTTCTCCCAACACTGCTGTCTCCTAACTCTGTGACTTTGGGCCCGTTCACTCTAAGAGTCCTCCAGTGTCTCCCTCTTGGGGTCATTGTCTTTCGGCGAAGGAGATGACACCTACGTGCTACCTAACATGTTGGGCTGATACCTCGTGGGGCTTGGTACATTCTCCCTCTGGTCTACGTGGATTCCGGACCCTCCCCCGCTCCCGTCCGGTCATGACGATGAAGCAGGAATTGGGGGGCTTTCACAGCAATCACCTTGGGTAGCTCTACACACGCTCTTATTCTAACCTTTCTTCACCTCAGGCCACATTTCAGGGAAGGGCTACCGATGCCAAAGCTTTCTGGTGCCAGCTTGTTCTCCAACCCGCCTACAGAGACTCAAGTCAGCCCCAGCGTCTCCCCTCCCCCCACCCAGGGGTATCATTCTTATTTTCCACCTGCCGGGGGAGAAAGGGGCTGCTGTCGTAGACCGCCAAAGCTACGTTTACTTGTTCAAGTCGACAGTTCCTTCTGTTAAGGACTGCGTGATGAGTTTTTCAGGAGCTGGGCCCGGCTACTCCGTGAGAAAGACCACCCCGCCACCCTGCCCAAGTGCTCCTCCCTAGCTGGGCTACCTGAAAGGCCCTCTTCCCAGCACTGCACCCCTGCCCTGCTTACCAGCCCCCACTTAGGGCTCGGGCCAGCCTCCCACTTCCTGTCCCCTTCTAGCTATCTTTGGGCAACAAACCTTCCCTCTAGTTTTTTTTTGGGGGGGGGTCCCTGCCAGCTACCTTGCTTCAAGGCATATCTGTACGGTAGGAGAAAGATGGAGGCAGGTCTGGGGCTAGACGGAGAGGCAGCTGGAGTAGCAGACCAGGAGCTGAAGGTGTGTGACTGCCATCATCCCTGCATCTGCAGCAAAGCCTCCTCCTACTGGCCCAGCCGTCCACCTGGCCTCAGGAACACAGGTGTGTCTGTTCCCGGCCCCTCACGCCCGGGTCAGAGCATTCAAGACAGAGCAGCACAGCAGAGCTGTCTCCCTCCCAGCCCCGGACAAGATGGTGGGGAGCAGTCTCTGGGGAAAGATCCTCAAGAGAAAGAAGCCTCTCTAAGGGAAAGAGAGAACATCCCTCTTCGTGGGAGGCTCTGCCGGTGCCCGGCCCACGCTCCCCGACCCAGCCCCCTCTGCCAACCTGGGAGCAGCGGGGCTCCCCTGTAGTAAGGAACCTGTCTCTCAGGAAAGTTGGGCTCCTGCTGAGCATTCCTGGGCCGCTTCTCTCAGAAACTCCGAGGCACAGAACCTTGAGACTGTCACACAGAAAACAACCTTCAGGCCCCTTTCCAAAGCTTCACAAGAATAACAGGAGATCAACCGCTCCGTTCTTCACACCTAGGTCTGGAAGACACTTAACCACCTCCGGAGAGCACGTCCACTCCCCCACAAACAAAACACGTGCCGCCACCAAAGATACGTGACAGGCTGTATCTCCGAAGGCAATTTTCAAAACATCTGGGCCAACGATGGTGTCACTAGCACCATGTATAGTTACGCAAGGGGCCCACGTCCAAGGAGCACTCGCCTAGGTGTGCCACGGCAGTTTGTCCTTTTTACTACCCGTTGTCACACCCCACGTGAAACAGGTCCGTCGGATTCCCGGAGCTCTTCGGCACATGGCGGCCCAGAAACACGCCCTGACGAATGAGCACGAGGGGATGTTTAACAACCAGGAGCCTCTCGGAATTTCCGTAAATGCCCTGCTGGTTTTATAGGAAGCACCCTTCCCCCAATCCTGCCAGGGATCCTGGTGCCTTCTTGCTGTCAGAGATAATGAACATTTTTTAGGCGCCAGGCATCAACCCCGTGACCCAATCCCTATCCCGGGAGCTAATTTTTTTTTAAAGATTTTATTTATTTATTTGACAGAGAGAGATCACAAGTAGGCAGAGAAGCAGGCAGAGAGAGAGGGGGAAGCAGGCTCCCTGCTGAGCAGAGAGCCCGATGCGGGGCTCGATCCCAGGACCCTGGAATCATGACCTGAGCTGAAGGCAGAGGCTTTAACCCACTGAGCCACCCAGGCGCCCCTGGGAGCTAATTTTTAAAGTCCTGGAAGCACCTGCTTTCCAAGAGGCAGCATGCTCGAGACAAAGCACATAAACCTGGATTAAGAATATGTCCCTCCCCCTTACCTTGTGTGACCTTGGAGAAGTCCCCTCTCCAGCCTCAGTCACCTCATCTACATATGATACTATGACGTCATAGTATCAGCCCTTGCAGGACAGTCGCAAAGAATGTCAGACACCAAAGAGTTAGGAAGAGAGGACTTTTTTGTCATCCAGTTACGTGCTGGTCGCTGGGCTCGGCACTGCGCTGTCAGGTCGACGTCGTATTTGAATTCCCAGGCTCAGCGTGTGGCCAAAGTTACCAGCTTTTCCTTCTTCTGAACAGCAGAAGTGAGTCTGGGCCCTCTCCATGCAGGGGTGTGACCCCTCCTTTCTGACCCTGCTTCCTCCCAGTTTGTAATTCCCCTGGAACCACTCTACCCTCCGGGATATTTTTCAGAGGAAACATCCTGTAACAATCAGCCGTGTCCAGACCTATGAATTAGCCTCTTAAAAACACTAGCCTGAGACCTCCGGCAGCCTCCACTGACTTTCTTTCTCTCAGACTCTCTACTCCCACTGTCCAGCCTGCTCTCAGAGGGAACTCAGAATTGTGCCTTTGTATCTCCTAGGGCGCCTTCCGACCCAGAGCCCGCCCCCAGCTCCAGGTGGAGAGCAGCCCCCGTTGTATGGAAATGGTAAGGACTTGCAGCTGGACCTTGCTTGCTTGGTCTGTCCCTGAAGATGGAGAAGGAGTCTGAACGGGAACGAGGAGAAGGAAGCCCCGCGAGCCCCAAGCCTTGGGAACCAGTCATCGGGGCAGGAAGCGGGTGGCTTCGGGGGGGAGCGTGAGGAGCTGGTGCTCTGGAGCTGGTGAAGGGACAGGGAAGTGGGAGGGGAGACTCGGCCTCCAGAGGGAGGGCAGGGAGGGCTTAGACGGGGGTTGGCAAACTCTGGCCCATGGGTCGAATCCAGTCCTCCAAGTACTTTCGTAAAGAACATTATTATGTATCAACAGAGCGGAGCCATGGCAACAGAGACCGTATGGCCAGCAAAGCCTGAAATATTGACTCTTTGACAGAAGAAGTTTGCCAGCCTCTAGTTTAAACAACGTCAGGGCTGGTGAAGCTGGGAGAGTCCGTGGTGGGGCAGGCAGCTCCCGCCAGCATGGACATCCCGCGTTAACCGCGCCTCCCACTCCTGTCACCGCCCTGCCGGAGCCCCTGACTGGCTTCCCTCCAGACAAGTCCTCAGGACACAGATGTCCGGAGGTGAGAGCGCACGTGGGTCCTATTCAAGCCTCAACCTTCTTTCAGTCACTTGGAGGGAGAACGAGGAAGACGGGATTTACCCTTCAGTGAGTATAGTCCCGAAGGAGCGTGGAGATGAGTGAGCTCGTCCGAACCTGACACGTTTGCTAATGTGAAAGGGAAGTCCGGGGCCTGGGTTGAGGTAGCTGACTACCGTCGACATTACCGGTCTACCACCACCACAATTATCCCTGTCATCTCTGTCCCCACCACAAACACCACTGTGACCACCATAATGACGGTCTTCAACATCGTCTCCCCCACACCACCCCTGCTGCCATCCTAACCGGAGAGGGTTTTTTGCCTTTTTCTGAGCTCTGTGAGGAAACAAAGAAAAGAGAAGGGAACAATGCAGTTTGTCCTTCCCCAGAGTGTAAGTCTCAGCAGGACAGTCCCAGCTCTGAGAGGAGCCAAGAAGACTGTGAGCTTCAGCCACAGATAACCAGAATCAGATGGCAGGGACGGGGAAAGGCCAGTCCTCGCTCCCACAGAGAGGCGGCAACGTGGCGTCGTGGGAGGAGTATGAGTTTCTGAGTCAGTCGGATATGAGTTCAAAACCCGACTACGTACTCTCTGTGTGACTGGGGAGGTCTCTGAGCCTAATCTATAAAGTGCAGATAATGCCTACTTTGCAAGATTGTTATAAATTCCTAGGAATAGGAGGTGGTTCTAGACATCTTAAAGATTGTCTGGTGTGTAATAGGTGTTCGAAGGCAGGAAGCTTTTTGTTTTTGTGTTTGTTTTACTGAGATTTCTATTCCTGGTCTGTAAAATGGGTTTGAATCAGCAGGGGGTTCCTGCTCCCTGCCATGAAGAGCAGTAGGGGAAGTGGACAAACGGGGAGTCTCCTGGACTCGGGGGCACTTTCCCCAGGACTCACGCATTGGTGGGCAGGTAGGAAAGCACACGTGGGCACAGTCCCTTCCAGAGGACAGTTCCAGTGAGAACTTAAACACCAGAAAGAAAGAAAGAAGCCAGCTGTGAATATGTGGTTTTCATGGACAAAATAAGGAAATGTGGCTGTTTTAATCCTGGCAGGGCAACAAGGGGAAGGCTTCATTGGGGAGGGGGGCGGGGCAGCCAGCCGGCTCCTGGTTCCTGCTTACAAGATGGGCAGGCTCTCCCTGAGGGGGTCTGAAACCCAAAGGCAAGAGAGGCCATCGTGTTCCAAGACACAGGGGAAGGGGCCGTTGGATGGGCTACTCTTGGGAGAGTGTTTCACGTTTGCAAAGACTTGGTATTTGCTGGGAAGCCTGGCTGGCTCCATCCGTTAAGCATCTGCCTTCAGCTCAGGTCATGATCCTGAGTCTCACATCGGGCTCCTTGCCCAGTGGGGAGCCTGCTTCTCCTCTTGTCTCTGCCTGCTGCTCCCCCTGCTTGTGCGCTCTCTCTCTCTCTTTGACAAGTAAATAGAAGAAATCTTTAAAAGAAAAAAGATTTGGTAATTGCCTCCAGTTCCCCTTCTTACGGATATGACCCTTGGGAGTATTAGCTGCTCTGAGCCTCCATTTTCTCACTCCAATTTGAGAAGGAATTAGTCATCCTTACTTGGCAGGACTGGTGTCAGATTAATACAGTAAATACAATCCCCACACCTGAAGGACTGCCTGGTGTGTGGTCATGGCCTGATGTCTCCCGATCACCCCTGTGAGGCGGCCATGTTACCACCGCCTCCCGTCTCCTGGCTGGGGAAGCAGAGGTCCCAGGGCCAAGAGGCTGGCCTGCTGTCTCACAACTGGGCTGTGGTTGAGTTGCACAGACGCAGGCCTCCTGGTTCCTGGGCCCACTTGTGTTTGGATGACGGGTGAGGGTACTGAGAAGCAAAGGGGGAACAAAGCTCCCTCGGGTGGAGGTGGGGGGACAGCAGGTGCACGGGTGAGCCAGACACCCTAACCCAAGTGTTTCTCTTTCCCCCATAGCCAGGTCTGCTGAGTTAGCCTAGGGAACCTGGGTGAGATGGACCTCCGCTCTTCTCTCCCCCACTGTGTTACACCTACCTCCTCAGCCTGACCTGACTCTCCCACAGGACACTTCTGTCATCTACACGGATGTGAAACACCTGAGGCTTGGCGAGGTTCCAGCCAGAGGACCAAATACAAGAAGCAGGACCCACAAAGTTCCCCTTGGTAACTTCCAGGAGGTCCTCTACTACTGATGGCAGCCCCCCGACTCTACCCACCCAAGGCCTCCAGTGCTCCCCAGGAGGCCAATAGGAACCCAAGCCCCTTCTCTAGGTCCCCAACCCCTGAGCCCAACACCAAGGGAGCCCGGCGTCCTGGCCAGGGTCCCGAGGAGACTCGAGGAACCCCTAAATGATCTGAATCCAAATGAGCAGAAGGACAGGAAAATGCGGGCAGTGTCATCCCCACTCACACATGAGTTGCAAGCAGTGGACCTGACACGGAAGCCACAGATGTTTTCTTGCACGTGAGTGGAAGGGTTGGCATGCCTTCTCTCCACACATTTGTGAGGGCTTTCTATGGTGACCCTCAGTCCCCATGCGTGTCCTTGGCCTCGCCCTGAAGGAGAGAGCTGACCTGGGTGGTCCGGTAGAGCATTTCCAGTTCGGAGCTGCCACTGAGGCCCCTGGGTGACTGCAGGGCTGAGGACTTTTCAGAGGCTCGGGGAGACCAAGAGTTGGGGGGAAAGGCCTGGCCCAGATAATATCACGGAATTCTTAACCCCAGAGTCCCTCCGCCACCTCCACTGGCACTGAGAGCCCTGCCTCCCATTTCTGCTCAGACCCCTTCCAGGCCGCCAGATTACCAAAGTTGCTGGAATTGATGTTTGCCCAAAACCCCCACTTGTAGAGTACCTTAGAAGACTTGGTTACCCCTCATGTGTTTACCAAAACATGGGCTTGTAGAAGTGTATCAATTTGTTTCATTTTATTCACCAATCACTTGCAGGGTGTGATGGCTGGTTTGGCTTGCCTTGTTGAGTCCATACTCCTTGATGCTGACAGTTTAGTCCCAGTAACTAGCAGGATTAGTTCTCCAGGCTCCTCCTCCCAGCCCTGGCTCCCTGCAGGCCGTGTTCCTGAATCACAGAGTGAGGTCCCAGTCATGCTGCTGGATCACCGACTCCACGCGCCTGTCCTGGGAAGAGGCCCACGTCCCCCACCCCCAGAGCTCCCACCCCTGGGCACCCGAGCTGCCCACAGCCAGCATTCACCCTTGAGCTTAATAGAATTTCAGCCACTCAGACTCAGCCCCAGACCTGCTGAGCCCTGATCTGCAATTTTTTTTTAATTTTTATTTTTTTTTAATTTCTTTTCAGTGTTCCAAGATTCATTGTTTATGCACCACACCCAGTGCTCCATACAATACGTGCCCTCCTTAATACCTACCACCAGGCTCACCCAACCTCCCACTCCCTCCTCCAAAACCCTCAGATTGTTTTTCAGAGTCCACAGTCTCTCGTGGTTCACCTCCCCCTCCAATTTCCCTCAACTCACTTCTCCTCTCCATCTCCCCATGTCCTCCATGTTATTCCTTATGCTCCACAAATAAGTGAAACCATATGATAATTGACTCTCTCTGCTTGACTTATTTTACTCAGCATAATCTCTTCCAGTCCCGTCCACGTTGCTACAAAAGTTGGGTGTTCATCCTTTCTGATGGAGGCATCATACTCCATAGTGTATATGGACCACATCTTCCTTATCCATTCGTCCGCTGAAGGACATCTTGTTTCTTTCCACAGTCTGGTGACTGTGGCCATTGCTGCTATGAACACTGGGGAACAGATGGCCCTTCTTTTCACTACACCTGCATCTTTGGGGTAAATACCCAGTAGTGCAATTGCAGGGTCATAGGGAAGCTCTATTTTTAATTTCTTAAGGAATCTCCACACTGTCTTCCAAAGTGGCTACACCAGCTTGCATTCCCACCAACAGTGTAGGAGGGTTCCCCTTTCTCCACATCCCTTCCAACACACGTTGTTTCCTGCCTAGCTAATTTTGGCCATTCTAACTGGTGTAAGTTGGTATCTCAATGTGGTTTTTATTTGACTCTCCCTGATGGCTAATGATGATGAACATTTTTTCATGTGTCTGTTAGCCATTTGTATGTCTTCTTTGGAGAAGTGTCTGTTCATGATCCACATTTAAAGAAGATCTCTAAGGGACACCTGGGTGGCTCAGGCATTAACCACCTGCCTTCAGCTCAGGGTCTTGGGATGGAGTCCCGCATCGCATCGGGCTCCCAGCTCAGTGGGGAGCCTGCATCTCCCTCTGCCTGCAGCTCGCCCTGCTTGTGTTTGCTCTATAAACACATTAAAGTTTAGAAAGCCTGGTCTGCCTCCAAAAGACACTTCATGGGATTACCTTCATCCACTCGCCTTTGGGAACATCACGGGATAGGACAGAGGACCCAGAGAACTTGCTAAGACAACCCGCGCTGACATTTTCCAGCTTCCCAGGCCTTCTCTTCCTTCCCACCCCCCACCTGACCTGCCTCCTCCCCAGCCTTTTCGGCTTCCTCCCCATCTCTCTCATCACCGGTCCAGTCCAGGTCCAGAAAACATCAGGGCCCCTCCCCTTCACTTCCTCTGCCAGGCTGGGGAGCACAGGCCAGGTCATGTAGAAGCCCAGGGTCCTCACTGGTCCATCAGGAAGCACCGCTGAAGCCAAGCCTGGCCACGCCCTCTATAAACAGGCTGGCCCCTTGTAAAGAGTCAAGTCAAAGGCAGGACAGCTCCTGAAGGAGACAGCAATGATGGGGAGCGGGAAGAGGCTGGCCCTGCCAGTCATCCCCCTGGACCGGCTCCTCCCTGAGCATTCGCACCACCTGCCCCCTGCCCCACACCAGTGACACTGGGACCTGTCTGTGGATGGTGTTTACCAATGCAGGGCAGGATAAGTGGATTTTATAGCAATCTCACAGAGTGATTTTGTTTAATACAATTGTAAAAAATAGGGCTCATCCTTTGGATGTCTTTTTATTTCTTCTTTTAGTAAATTGCTTTTATCATATTCTACAAAAGAATAGTTCCACAATGGATTCAAAATCAAGAAAAACAGTTCCTTTGACACAGGTGAGAAGTCCTATCCTCTACACACACCAACTCACACTCTTGCACACATGCTCTCGCACACACGTGCACACACACACACACATGCACACCTGTGTCTGGCCTCTCCTGCTCTTTGTGTCTTCCCCAGAATCCCTCCCCCACCTCCACTTCTATTTGCACAGCGAAAGTATCCTTTCCCCTTAGTTTAGAAAAGAATGGGCTATGATTTTTTTAAATGAACAATAACTAAGAAAATGGAAGAAAAAAAATCCACAAAAAGCACATAGAGAAAGCAGAGGTTTCAGAGGAGTCCCCAGACTCTCCCCGGCCGGCCTGACAGCAGCACAGCGGGTCCCAGCACACCCTTGCCGGTGCTCAGAGCAGGAACCCACTGCTGGTCCTGGAGGACGCTAGGACGCTGGTGGTGAGGAGAACAGACTCTCCCGGGGCCCCAGGGACAGACCCTGCAGACACCACCGCCCGAAAGGCTCCGCACTCTTAGTTCCTCTCCAAGTCAGAGCAAAAGTAGACACTCCTCCAGCAGCGCCCAGTTGTCTGCCTGCTCTAGGGACACAGGGACCGGGGCTGTGGGGGTCCACATCACTTCCTGGGTAAACAGGACAGAAAGGGCTCTGTGCAGAGTTGAGAGCCGAGCTGCTGCCCTTGTGGGGAGAGGGGGTTCACATCGGGGGCTCACAGCTGCCCTCTGCTGGAACTGACCATCCAGAGGACAGCGGCATCCTGAGGTGCCCTTGGACACCTGTCCTTGGCTTTGTGTGTCGCCCAACACCTCAGAGAGACACCACAAAAATGGACCATGCCCCTTCCCTGAACCAGGCAGTTTGCAGAGGTTGGGATTTCTTTCCATTCCAGGTTTATTTGAGATTTGGCTAGAAAATGAGGTGTTTGACATTTTTACCTAAACCAGCATCCACTGGTATGGACCTTGGGGACAGGAACCACAGACAAGATGCTCGGGACAGGGAAGACCCAGGCTTTCTCATCCAATACCGGGATGTCTTGTACCCTGAACGCAGGTTCCCATCGCCGTCTGCACTGCTGGCACAGACCGGCGCCGCTGTGCTCCCGGGCTTCCCGTGCTGAGCAGGCCCCTCCCATGCTACACCTGCTCGCAGCCTAAGGGGCCCAGGAGGCAGGTTCCTCAGAGGTTTGCTGAGCGAGTGAGGGAAACGCCAGCTCCTCCCTCCCTACCTCTGTGGGGCTCGGTGGTCGTGGTCTATCTCCTGTATGCAGCCTGCCTTCGGCTCCCTGGGGAAGGATGTCTTTGCCTCAAATGCAGACCCTACAAAGCCTCGGACCATCCCACCCAGCTTCTACAGGTCCGTTTCTTGTCTCCTGCTTCCCCTCTCCTGCTGGGTGCACCTTGGTCTCACGCATCAAAGATCAAGCACTCCACTCTCTCTCCGCATCCCCAGCAAGGCCAGGACAAGGGCAGGCACGGCAGGTGCTGTGGGCACTTGGGCTCAGGGCCATGAGTGCAGGCATGAGAATGTCATCTCAGGGGAGGTCGGGCTCCCTGTTTTCACGCGTGCGGAGCTACCTCTGCTGCAGAGCTGGCCGATGGGGAAGTGGTGTGCACGGGCTGCCGCACCCAGGGCAGCCTCTGGGGCCAGCTGGTGCCTGGTGGCATGGTGTCTGCCAACAGACCTTGAAGACAGGTGGTCCTCTCTGCGTGAACCAAGAAGATAAATGTAGACATAAAGATGTGGCTTAGGTGGGGTTCCCCCTGGCCTCTCAGCCCCCATCCCTTACCACCCTTCAGAGGTGCCCCCTTTCCTCCCAGAAAGCCTGCTGGGTTCCCTCCCTTCCTATCTGAAGCTCTGCCTGCTTTCCCGCTCTCCCCCTTCTCTCCTGTCTCACTTTTTGTCCCTCCTGCATCTCTCCTGTCTTTTGTTGTGGCCCTAGCCTGTCCCCAAGCCAGTCCAAGAATCAAGGACAAGCATGAGGGGGCAGGATACCCCGATTCCACTGGCCCCGAATGGAGCTCAGGCAGCACACGTGACCCCCGGGCACACGTGCTCCCGCCCCTGCCCACAGCGGAGGTGGGCTAGGGGAGAGGGGCCAAGGGAGCCAGAGCCCTGAACCACGGCGACTCCCTGGCTTCCAGAAGGGCCCAGCTGCCAGCTGCTCTCTTAATTAAGGAATGTGGGAGTGGTGCCTTTGAACTCCCAGCCCAGTGACTCCAGCGCACCGTCCCAGTGGCGGGGTAATTATCCTGCTCCGAACCAGTGATTGGCAGCGGGGGGAGCCTGTCCCCACAGACTTGCCCATCCGGAGCTGCCCCTGTTCGTCTCTCTCCAGTTGCCACACAGCGTGGAGTTCTTCTTCCCTTTGCGGAGGGAGAAAGTCTGCTGACCCTCACCAACCTCCTCCTCCCCCTTCCTCAGCGTCCCTGAAATTCCCCTCCAGGAGAAGGGCGTGAGGTGGGGATGTGAGGCTGGGACAATGGCAACTCTGCCCCTGCTTGGACGGACCCCTACATAGGTCCAGTCCACTCTGAGGGAGTGTGGCCACCCACTGTCTTCTCTGCGGGAATTCCGCGTCTGTATTCCCCACATTCCCCCCGCAAGGGCCCAGCTCCTGCCACCACACCCTCCCGGTCCCAGGCCTGGCAGCCCAGCATCACACCATCCGCCTCTCCACGGGCTTGGAGGGCTCCCTCACTTGGGAAGCCTGTCCTTGGCTCCAGGCGGCGCGCAGACGTGCCCTCACGAGCTTCCGGTCTGGGCCAGTCTGGGAGGGGCTGCTCACACCCGAGCCCCCTTGCTCTGCATGGACCTGCCCTCCTCTCTTCCCTCCCTGGCCAGTTAGTCACAATGGTTAAGGGTTTTTTAAAAGCTGACTATGCGCCAGACCCCATCCTAAGTAAACCCTTACCTGCACTCTTGCCCCACGAACTGTAATTAGCAGGTTACCTCCCCCGTCTCCTCACCCAAACTGCAGACTCCCTGAGGGCAGGGCCATGCCTTTCATCTCTGTGTCCCCAGCCCCTGGCACAGAAGTAGATGCTCAATAAACACCTGATGCAAAAAGGACAGAATTCACAGCGGGGTCATGGATGGGATCCCCCACCCCCCGGCCTCTCACTGTGAAGCCAGATGGCTCCCAATTCTGTCCCTGACTCCGCCCTGTCCCTTCCTCTCTACTCTGAATATTTCCTTCCTCTTCCAGTCAGACCATCCCAACAGCTGCTACCCAGGCTTTCCTGCCTCTTCTCTCTCTGCCAACCTGCCCTGCACGCTGTCCTTCCACCAGCCAGCTACGCTCAGCTCACAGCGGGCCACAACCCCTCCCTTTGAGCAGACCTTCTCAGAGCCTTCCCTCGGCCCACCAGCTGCAGAGTCACCTGGAGCGGCACACGGGCCAGACTAGATTCCCGGGTCCTGTCCCAGCCCCACTGAACCAGAGTCTCCAAGGCTGAGTCCCGCAAGGTGGAGAGCTGCTTCCCCCAAAACAAAAGCCTAGTCCCTAAGCCAGTATTCCAGGCCTCTGTGAGCGGACCCTCAACCTCCCTTTCCATTCCTACCCACTGCAGCCCTAAGGGGCTCCTTCCCTCGCTTCATCATCCCAGGAGCCCACCTGGGACTCCCCCCATCTGGCTGTACCCACTCGGTTCTACTTCATGCTCAGAACCTGCCCCAGCCTCTGGCTCTCCCCTTTTCTCTGCCTGTCCAATTCATGCCTACCATCAAGGTGCAGCTCAAAGCCCACTTTGGGGGATGTGCCCCCCGCCCGCATCCACAGGGTCCTCTCCCCTACCCCCTCTGCAGCAAGAAGCCCCCGCTGCCCATTGCCAGAGCCGTGTTTGTCTGCCGGGGACCTTCCTTCCAGGCATATCCTGTTTCTACACTTGGGCTGTGAGGCCCTGGAGAGCAGGAAGCCGATCCCAGAGTCCCCCGGCTCTCCTGCCACCATGCCTGCCTCACTCTTGGCCGGGTCCCAAGCCGAGGTCAGGAGTTCCTCGGGACGAGACACCACGAGCCTGGCGTGTCTCTTGGGGGTTCCCCTTGTCTTCCTGCAGAGTCTCCCCTGACTCAAGCGAACCCTTGTAACTGGAAGTGAGAAGAGACTCGTGGTGAGGAGGGGCAGCGCTGGCAAAGTGGCCCAGGCTCCCCAGGGCGAGTCTCCCACCCCAGCTCTCGCTCATGACCTCTGCAAGGTGAAAACCTCGCTCTGGGTTCAAATCAGTAAGACCCTCAAGAAGTCTAGAATTCACACTCTCGTTTGCAAATGTTTAGGAAACACCCACGGTATGCCGAGCACCAAGGGGAACACAGGCACAAGTAGGTGAAGACCTTGCCGGCAAGCAGTCCGTGGAGACCAGAAAACCACCACGAGACAGTGTGCCGAGGGCGGAGAGCCAGCCGGCATGGGGCTCGGGATGGCTTGAGTGGGAGCTGGCCGGCCGCAGCTTGCCCGGACCCTGGTCCTGAGGACCGGATGGAGCAGCGCACCTGCCGGAAGAGTGAGCACAGAGCGTGGGGTGTCGTGGGGGCTCCCCGGAGGGGCCATCCTGCCTTCGCATGGGAGCAGGCCGGGAAGCCCAGCTCGGACCAGCAGACTGGAGTTGAACTTAGGAGTGCCTTGTACACCAAGCTGAGGGTATTATCTTTTGCAGTGGAAGGTGCGGAAGAATTTTAAAGAAGTAACACAGGGAATTGCAATCTAGAGGGTTCTCTGTGGCTACGGCAGGAAAGCAGCCAGCCGTGGGGCCGGCGGGATGCAGAGAAGGCTGGCGGATCCAAACGGAGGATGTGGCTTGTGTTGAGGCACCTGTTGCCGGCGACGGCCTTGGCCAACCACAGGCACATGGAAGAGGCTGACTTACAAGAATCCACTCCTGAAAGAGCCCAGCCAGGCCAACTTCCACTTTCCTCTGGAGACTTTCATTTTCGGGGCATCCAGTTCTGAGTCAAAGATTCCTCCTTCGGAACATGGGACTTTCCAGAAGGACCACAGCCTCCTTCCGCACACCCACTTGACCCCAGATGTTCTGGATTTGGGTTGTTGAAGGAGTCTGCTGGCCCCTCGGGAGAAGGATGGCCCTGTGGTCCCTGTGGAGCCTGCTTCTCTGGGAAGGTAAGGGGGGCCGGTGTGTGGCCTGTCCTCAGAGAGTTGGGTGCCTCTCCCCAGGGCCCTTTGCCTGCCGTCTGGGCAGGAACCCCAACCCCAGCGAGAGCCCAGGGGCTGGGGAGGGGCAGGGAAGACTGAAGCATGTTCTCGGTGACCTTGGAAGCTGGACCCAGCCAAGCTCTGCAGCTCCTTGGGTGGAAGGCGGTGGTGGCCGTAGCAGCGTCCACGTCCATGGGACATGAGCTGTTCCGTGGCCCCGGGCCGTTCAAAACTGAGGCTGGTGGTCCCAGTGGTTTGGAAAGGCTTGGTTGTGGGAAGGGTGAAGGAATTCTACTACAGTCTGGGAAGAAGGAGGGCAGGGCAGAGCAGGCTCAGAAAAGGATGGGTGCCTTTCCCTCAGCCTGGGGGAAGCCAAGGCTGCCTCCCGCAGGTCTGTGTGAAGGAGTGGGGTGTTGGGGAGGGCGAGAAGGCGATCGAGCCACACAGAGCACATGGACTGGGCAGGTGGGAAGGGTGTGCTGTGGGAAGGGCGACCCCCGCGACCCCCTTCCCGTCTGCTGCCTGACCTCCCCCCCCCCCACCGTTAGCAAGCGGCACACGTGACAGGGACCAGCGCTGCACGGCCCGGGGGCAGGAGTCAAAGGAGCCCAGATTCCCACCAGGGACTCCAAGGGACTTGGAGATGACTTCAGCCAGTGTCCCCCTCCTGGGCCTGTCCAAGCATGTGCGGGAAATCCTCACAAAGGAGAAAGAACCTGTGTGGTGCACAAATCTTTCAAATCCCGGGATGTGGAAGGCAAAAAGTCCCCTTAACGGTAAACCAGATGCATCCCACCGTTTGGCTACACCCTCTTGTTTCGGGGCTGAGACCACAGAAGGGACCAGGGCCATGGGGTGAGGTCACAGAGCAGGTCTGCGGCAGACTTAGGGCAAGACAGACCAAGGAGCCTTGACCAGCATCCAGCTCTGTCCTCTGTGTAGGCCAGGTCTCCCCCCGAAGCAACCGCTGCAGCTGGACCCAGAGGGCAGTGAGACGGGTGGGGGGCTGGCCGAGTGACCCCCAGCACACAGCTCTTCGAGCCCACTCCCAGCACCTGGGCGCGTTCCACACGAGCTGTGTGCTGCTTTCTGCCCCTGCGTCCTCCGTGCCACGCCCGGGGACTCCTCGGGGACTCCTGTCTTTCATCCAGTACAATGTGCTGAGTGTCTCCTCCATGCTCCTGCTGGTGTGGGTGTGGGGGTAGGAAGAAGACAAGAGGAACCCGTGGTCCCGCGTGGCAGCTCCTGCCGCAGCCACAGGCAATCACCGCAGAGGGACCCAGCACCCCCAGCTGCAGGGCCACGCAGAGAAACAGTGCGGACCTCCTGCCCCTGAGAGATGGGGAGGCCAAGGGAGGCGGGGGGGCGGGGCGGTGTTCAACGATGAGCAGCACTGGACAGCGAAGGAGTCAGTCCTCCCTACCGCAAAGGCACCGCCCAGAGCCCTCAAACTCAGCATCTCCCCGGCTTCCAGCCTGCTTCTCCTCCTGCTCCGGACCACGGAGAACAGCGCTCTGTGGGTCCCTGGTGCCCTCCACGGCCTTCGCCGTCACTCCCCAGACCACACCTAGGACCAGACGCCCTGGCTACACAAGTCCTCCCACTCCTCCCCATCTCAGCCGCCCCCATCACTGCGCAGGCGCAGGCGGGGGAACAGGAGAAGACCGGCCTGCTCCAGTGCCCCCACACCCCTGCTGGTGCGGCCCTCTAACCCGCGTCTCGCCCTCTTACTCCCTCACCTTAGACCCTGTGCGAGGCCCCCCAGGGCTCTAGTGCGAAGCTGCAGGAGCTGACTCCCACCCACTCCGCAGGCGTCTTCCTCCCCTGCAGAGAGCTGCTTTCAGTTCCCAGAACCAGGCGCTCCGGATGCCCTCCAGGCCCTTGCAGGCCGGCTTCCCTCCCTGGTCCGCGACACTTCCCCATCCCTGCTCCACACAGCCCTCCTCCACCCGACCTGGCTGATCCCCTCTCCTCCTTCTGGTCTCAGCTTAACCACTTCTCAGAGCCCCCAAGGCCGTCGCCGCACCTGTGCTCTCCCAGGGCATCCCTTCTTCCCCATCGTGGGACCTAACTTAATATGCTTAGAGTCGGGCTTCCTCTGTGAGCGCCCGGAGCACAGACGCAGGCTTCTGTCCCTTGTGCTTTTATTCCCAGCCCCCAGCACAGTGCACCTTGCTCGGGTGGAGGGAGTGTGCTTCGCAGCCGCTTAGCTGGGTGCCTGAGTGTGGCCCGGGAGGGGTGAGGAGCCTTGGCCAGGCAGCGACGGGGCTCCGTTCTTCCAGCATTTCTTCCCACCGCAGCCTCCAGCGCCCAAGTGCACGGCCAGGTTGGGGGCTCCGTGCTGCTGGTGGCAGAGCGCCCTGCCGGCTTCCAAGTCCGAGAGGCCATCTGGAGATCTCTCTGGCCTTCCGAGGAGCTCCTGGCCACATTTTTCCGGGGCACCCCAGAGACTCTGTACCGCTCCCGCTTCCTGGGCAGAGCCCAGCTGCACAGCAACCTCAGCCTGGAGCTCCAGCCGCTGGAGTCTGGAGACAGCGGCAACTTCTCCCTGCTGCTGGTGGACACGGGCGGTCGGTCCCGGACCCAGGTCCTGCAGCTCAAGGTGTACGGTGAGTGCACCCCACACTGGCTCTCCAGCTGCCCACAAAGAAAGTTCTGGAAAGGGGTCCTGCGTCCCGGAAGCTGGGGAGACCTCTGGCCTTGGGCCTTGCAGCTGATTTGGGACACGTCTGAGAAAGCTCCTCAGGGACTCCCAGGTGCCCTCTTGTGTGAGGCAGCCCGGCTTTGCCACCCCACTGTCCTTGCCCGAATCCCAGCGGGGTCCCTTCTAGGCTCCGTGGCCTTGGACACGATGCAAAGCTTCCCGAGCATTCACCTTTCTCATTGATCAAATGGGCGTCGTGAGTGGTAGTACACGTAGCTGCCCACAAAGGCAGGATACACTGCATCTGGGAACACATCCAAGACAGAGGTCTGGCCTACACTCCAGAATGCTACGGTTATAAGATGTGCCATCGTTAGACAAAACACTAACAAGAAAAAACATATTGCCAAACTATGACACAATGTTTTTTTACTAAAAATTAAAACATAATTGAAGCATGGAATGTTTATTTCATATTGCTTTGAAGAGTTCTTTAGACGTAGAGACTTTTAACTATATGACATTCATGGGTCTCAATTATTCATTGTTGCAAAACAAACCACCCCTAAACTTACTGCCTGAAAACAGCTATTTTAATTTCTCACCACCTGCAGCGTGGCGGGGCTCAGTGGGGGTGGTCTTCTGCTCCCCGTGGTTTGCCAGACTCGTCCATGCAGCCAGTCAACACCTCAGCTGGGGTGGCTGGCTTCACCGGCCACTGGGCGAGCTAATTTTTCCAGCAACTTCACCTCCACAATCTCCACCTCCTCCATCATCACCTTCACCTTCACCTTCTTCACCATTACCTCCACCATCATCACCATTATCTCCACCTTCTCCATCACCTCCACCGCCATAACCTCCACCATCACCTCCATCTCCACCACCTCCACTTCCACCACCATCACCTCCTCCACCATCACCTTCACCTCCACCTTCTTCACCATCACCTCCACCATCACCATCAGCTCTACCTTCTCCACCATCACCTCCACCATCAGCTCCACCATCAGCTCTACCTCCATCACCATCACTTCCAACTTCTCCATCACCTCCACCTTCTCCATCACCTCCAACTTCTCCATTATCACCTCCAACACTACCATCACCTCCACCTTCTCCATCACTTCCACCACCTTCACCAACACCTCCACCTTCTCCACGATCACCGCCAACTCCACCGTCACCTCCATCACCACCTTCACCATAACCTTCACTTTCTCCACCTTCACCTCCACCATCACCTCCACCACCATCACGTCTATGTCCACCACCTCCACCATCACCACCTCTATCTCCGCCTCTACTGCCTCCCCTTCCACCATATTTGTTGCTGATCAAGAAAAATAAATGGCCTGTTAGCTCTCATTTATCTGTCTAATGGCTTGGAAAAAGAATGTGAGGTACCCCAAATCACTATTTCAGTAAAACCTCAGAAATTTGGTAGGGCAATGGGGAGAAAAAGGTCCACTGTTAAGAATGAAAAGTAGGGTGACAGCTAGGAAGAGGAAGACAGTGAGGGAGAGAAAGGAAACGGGGAAGGAGAGAGGACCCCAACCACCCCCACCACGAACCCAGGGACAGCTAGCGGGTTGTCTGTGAGCCACTCAGGATGCCAGCTTGCCATTATTCGTGTGTCCTGGATGCACGCAGCCCTGAACCCAGTTGCACGGCTTGGCAGGCGGAGCGCTGGCTGGATTTCAGCAACCCCACCCTCACTGGTTATCCCCTTAGCCCAGGGCCCTTGTGTAGTGAATAACCTCCACAACCATACAGGCAGCCCCGGAGCCTCTTCCTGCTCTGAGTCTCAGCCGCTGCACGTGTGAAATGAGGACATTGAATGGGATAACACGCGCAGCACCCACACCACTAAGCTCTCAAATGCCTTGTTCTCAGCGTCTGAATTACAGATTTTAAGGAAATTGCTGTTTTATTGCTTCCAAATACATAGCATGATTAGAACTAATTGCACGACGCTGCCAGCAGCCGTCCTTGGGAGCTCTGCTTTGACAATAGATAAGAATGATTTGAATTAGCAGATCAGTTGCTAGAAATGTCAATGGGTGTTTCTACTGTGCCTGATAGTGTTTGGAAGCAGCTTGTCCTCCTAAGTAGTGTAAATATCCCCCCCCACATACACACACGGTAATCTTTGTTTATACTATTAGGGTACCCAGCAAATCTTTCCTTTTCTATATCACAAATCCCACCAGCTTGAGCTGGCATTAATGAGGTTTTACTCTGCTTGACTCTGGAATGCTGTCAGAGACAGAGCCCTCCCGTTGTCACCAGAATGCTCTCCCGCTGGCCCCCATTGCCACAGAGACTCGGGATTTACTCATCAACCTATACAGAAAAGGCGAGCCTCTGCCGGGGAGGCTGAGACTCCAATCTGTTCACCGGTCCAGGTGGCTGAGCACCTAGAGAGCTGGGTTATGAACATAACGAAACAGAGCCCCCACCCCCTGGTCTCCCCCGCAGTTTGCACCCTTGTAATTATTTCCTTAATTATTCAGTCACTTGTCAGCACCTGTCTTCTTCACCAAACTGAAAGCTCTAATAATCCAGGAATGTGTTTGTCTTCTTGCCTGATTTAATAGATGCCTATCACCTGTCTGCCTGATATGTCATGAGGAAAGTGCTAAGACAAAGGACAGACAGAGTTTTGGAGTCTTCCAAGCCTGCGGTGTCAGGGAAGGCTTCATGATCAGAAAAGCAAGCTATGTGCTCAAGCTGGGTCTTGAAGGGTTGGTAAGAGTTTCCTAGGAGGAAGAGAAGACAAAGACATATGTGCACAGCTGAGCCAGATGAAAGCGCCCAGGATATGGGAAAGTATGGCGTGCTTGGGAGAACAGGAAATTAATCAGGGTAGGTGAGTAAGACCAGCAGGAGGTTACAGCTACAGAGGTTGACATCAACTATGTCATGAAGGATTTTGAATACCAGACTAAGGAATTCAGCCTCTGTCCTGTGGGCAATGGGAAGCCAGACTATGTTCTGGAGCAAGAGTAAGCTGGTCAGAGGTGACCTCTAACCCTGCATGGATCCCAGGACTGGCACGATATGCCCTTCCCAGCATCACTGTAACCCATGCCCGCTCTACTGTTCTTGTCTAGATGTGGTGCCCAGACCCGTGGTACAAGTATTCATTGCTGTACCAGGAGAGGCTCAGCCACCCAAGACCTGCCAGGTGTTTCTGTCCTGTTGGGCCCCCAACATCAGTGACATAACCTATAGCTGGCGACGGGAAGGGACCATTGACTTTGGTATGGAGCCAAGCGACCTCTTCACGGATGGACAGGTGCTGAGGGTTTCACTGGGACCAGGAGACAAGAGCACGACCTATTCCTGCATTGTGTCTAACCCTGTCAGCTGGGACTTGGCCACTGTCACCCCTTGGGAGAGCTGCCATCATGAGGCAGGTATGCCAAAGGCCTGGGGTCAGTGGTGGAGGGATTGTGAAGAATCAAGCCCCTCTCTGACCCGCCCCCTCCATATCCAGCCCCAGGAAATTCCTCCTACAAAGATGTGCTGCTGGTGGTGGTGCCCATCTCCCTGCTCTTGACCCTGGCTGGTTTCCTCTCTGCCTGGCACTCCTGCTACTCAGGTAGGAGTCCTGCAGGTGCCAGAGGTGTGTGGAGGTGGGGGGTCTGCGGAGGAGGAGAACATGGTTGGACCTCCTCCATTTTAGGCTTCAGATGGTCTGCCCTCCTTACCTCTGCGAACACATTTCCTGACTCATACTCTGGTGTCCAATCAGACTGATCTACATGAAGCCTCATTTGCAGTTCTTCAAATGAACTCTTGTCTTATGTATTTCTTCAGGCTTTTGCACATGCCATTATCTCTGTCTGGAACACCCTTTCCATGGTTTCCCACCCAATCCCCCTCTTCATGTGACTATCTCCTCCACAATCTCCAAGGGACACCAGCTCCAGGAAGCCTTCCTGACCTCCTCCCCTGGTCTGGGCAGAGTGGGTGTTCTTCCTTTAATCTCCATTGCCTACCCTAGTCACAGCGCTCACTGCACTTACTCTTCCACTGAATTCTCCGCCCCTTAAAGGCTGCCTTAACACCCCACCAGGCAACTAGCAATGGTTCCTGGAACAACGCTGGTACAGATAAAGGTTTGCTGAGTGGAAGTCTAGATGAATCCCAACCCACTCTTGCCTACCATTCCTAGGAAATGCCTCTGAAGGAAGAAACTTTCTGGCTAGGGGTTAATGAGGCCTCCTTCTCAAGGAGAAGAGAGCAGGGGAAACTCAGAGGTGTGGCTGGATTCTGAACCGGCCCTCCTGCTTAGCCCTTCCCTCAACCTCAGGATGTGCTGCCCCTGACAGAAACACCCCACAGACCTGGGCTTTGTGGAGATGTCTACCCTAGGCTGTCTGGGATGGCTTCAGGCCAAGCCAAGGATGCTACGAGTCCAGATATCATTGGGTAACTTTCTGATCTCTTTGCCAGGGAAAAAGCAGAAGGACGTCTGTAATGACAGAGTGACTCCAGAGACAGAAAACCCCCTTGTGTAGGGTCTGGATGAAGGAGGACATAAACTGTTGCCTGGACCATCAGGAAGCCCACTGCCCAAGCACATGATGCTCTGGAACACGCTGGTGTCCGGAAACCACCATGGGCCTTGTGCTTCCACTGAGACTTCTGTCCCATCTCCGGGAGCAGCCTAGACAGCTATTGCACTGGGAGCTACCCAACAGAAAACACTAGCACAACCTTCCACATGCCCCCCAACCCCATCCCCGCTTCCACCCCTCTCCTGGCTCTGCTTCGGGCAAGATAACAGACCATCCCCTCAAAGACACTTGAAGTTCTCCAGGATCCACAGCGACGTTGATGGTCCCGGGCATTCACCACCCCCACCACGGTTCATGAAATACTGTTGCAGGCAGAAGTTGTCTCCTCAAAGTCCATTTGTTGAAGTCCTAATCCCCCATCTCTCAGAATAGGACTGTATTTGGAAATCGGACTTCAAAGAGAAGATTAAAATTACATGAGGTCATTGGGATGGGCCCTAATCCCTTATGACTGGTGTCCTTGTAAAACAGGAAGAGACACTAGGGATGCACACACAAAGAAAAGGCCATGGAAGGACACACAGAGAAGGAAGACATCTACAAGCCAAGAAGAGAGGCCTCAGAAGGAACTTAACCTGTTAACACCTTGGTCTTGTGCTTTTAGCATCCAAGACTATGAGAAAATAAATTTTTGTTGTTGAAGCCACTCATTCTGTGACATCTTGTTAGAGCAGCCCAGCGGACCAAAGCAAGTATTAACTAATTGGCACCAAAGGATTGCCTCCAGTCTGGGTCCCAGACGCTGAAAGACACTAGACATCTGAACTAACAGAGAAACTCTGAACCACCCCACTTCCAGCTCTGGGCCCAGCCCAGCCCCTGTAGTTTGAGACCTTGATGTTTCTTGATGTCTGAGACATTATCATAAGAAAAGATCTAGAAATAGGTGAAGGTGAGAGGCAGGGGACAGGGATTCTCTTTCCAGCATGAAGGACTGTCAGGTTGTCTGACATCGTGGCCCCTCAAGGGTAATTCACAGGTAGAGACAATCAAGAGATGGTTGACATAGCCTGGTTGGGGTGGGTGCCATTTTGCAGGTAACACCTTGCAAATGATGTTTTCACCATCTCTGCCGACCACCATGCCTCCTGCAGGATCTGAGGTTCTCTCTGCTCTCTCCAGCACAGTGACCACCAAAGAGGTATTAAATTTTCCGCAGCCAACAGAAAGCTCTTGCACCCCTTCAAGAGAGGGGGCAGTTCAAGAAAAGCAGCTCAGCCTGAGGGCCTCTGCCTGAGGCCAAGAGAGTGAGGAGCCAGAACAGCTGAGCAGAAAACAAGTGCGGAGGGAACAGGGGCGGAGGCCTGGTAGAATCTGCTACACTCATTTTCAGATGCAAGAGCAGAAGATGCCCTCGTGCTCAAGGGGAAGAGACAAAGGCTCCACCACTCAGTGTGAAGACGGCCAAGGTCACTGTCTCAGAACAGCGTGTGGGATGGAAGCTGTGACGTGGCCAACTTTGGAAAACAGCATCTGCCAATAAGTGGTTCTGTCTGGGAAAACTCTGGGACTTCGCCATTGGAAACTTCTACTTGGGGTTCGTGGCTGGCGAGTTCACCGTTACTCCCACCCAGGTGCCACCTGATTCTTTTCTGGGACCTCCCTCAAGGCTTGGTACTAGAGAGGAAGGAGGTCTTGAAGAAACAGAGGCAGGCTATGAGGTATATTCCCGGGACAGTTTCCATCGCTCCGCCCATGAGGTCAGTCCTGTGCAAGGATCCCCCCTCCTTCCCCCAGGAGCTGGGCAGTCACTTCACCTTCGTCAAATGGTCAGACAATCGGCCTCTAGATTCACAACCCCACTCATCCACTCAACTCATTCTGGAATTTCCCTACCTTCTGGCTCTGCTCAGAGGTCCACAACTGGTCTCCAGGCTTCGTCTTTTCCTCCTGCCTTACCTGTGCCCACTCTGTCCCCTCACCTTCCCCCAAGTCCTCCTGTACAATGCACAGGACCTCCCAACCTGGCAACTGGTGTTGCCTCCTCCTGTCACCTGGAGGCTTTCCCTGTGGCCACTGACATCTTATGCAAAGCTGTCCTCAGTCCCTAAAAATGATGTGAAAGAGAAAGCCGGGGATCCAGCAAGGAGCCGTGGTGACTATGTGGGGAATCACACACACGGTAACTCCTTCCTTCCTTCCTTCCCTTCGTCTCCTGGGCCCCACCTCAGATCAGAGCAGTTCTGGATGGAATGGGGCCTACATTTCTCCCTTCACGAGTTCCCTCTTAGTGACCTTATTAAGTGGTTTGACGGGGCAGCACACCCGAGCTTTTTAAACGGATCCGTGCTGCTGGAATACATTGATATTCCCAGCCCTCGTGATTCACTTGTCAAGTACTAGACTAATGAACGCCCTCCGCCAGAAAACTCAGAAGACTTCTGAGAGAGAGTGTGTGTGTGGCAAGCGCTGGGACTGACGGTGTACAGTTCGCACAGAACAAGTATCGATGGGCGGTTCGGCGTGCGCTGGGTCCAGCTTGAGGCCCTGGGGAACCAGAAGTGAGTGAAGCAATGTCCTTCCTTCATGGAGTTTATATGCTGGAAACGCAATAGGCAAGGAAGCATGTGCCAGCTTTGATGGGTTCTCGTAAGGAGAGAAAGCAGGGTAAAAGTCTAGAGAATAATGTGTCGGGGAGAGGGAGCCCGTCTCAGATAGGCGAGTGGAGAGAACCGTGGGGTGTGGGGGGATTAGCCTGGAGACCAGATGTTGAGAAGGCCCCGGAGGGGGAGCGCGGTTAGTGTTTTCAAAAAATAGAGTGGACCTGTACCCCTGCGGCTAATAATACATTATATCTTAATAAAAATTAAAAAAAAAAAATAGAGTGGAGGCCAGGCTGGCTGGGTGAAAACAGAGAGGGCATGGTGGGGGAGAGTGGAATGGGGAGGATCTGAGTGGGGGCCTGGGGCCACCGCACGTGGGACCCTGGGGTCTTCACAGCACACGTCCCTGGGCTTAGCGTAGCCAGGAGCACCCCTGTCTGTTTGGGAGTCAGATTCCTCCCGTGACGACCTTTCCACCATTGTTTCCAGTTGGCTCATGGTCAGACCAGAACCCTGTCCCTCTGTTTTTGCTTTTCTCTGTTTTTGTTAAATTTTCCTTGAACACGAGCCTTTGTACCTATCCTTCTGTGCAAAGCATGAAAGCAAGAGCGGCTAGGGTGTCGGGGTCACGAGACGTGACGTCAGCGAGAATGGAGAGGGGGCATAGCAAAAGGCGAGGGTGAGACAGACGTGTTTGTTTTCATCAGTAGAGACAGGAATACCCAGGGCCTTGTTTAAAAACTTTTTTTTCGTAGGGACACCGGGGTGACTCAGTTGGTGACACGTCTGCCTTCAGCTCAGGTCATGATCTCAGGGTCCTGGGATGGAGCCTCACTTCGGGCTCCCTGCCCGGCGGGGTGTCGACTTCTTCCTCGGCCCCTCCCCCCTGCTTCTGCTCACACAATCTCTCTCAAATAAATAAATAATCTTTTTAAAAATTTTTTTGGCAAACGACATCTCTGGGAAACCTTCCTCCCATCTTTGTTCAGAAGCAGCACCTGTTCGGTTAATCAGCCCTTGGTCAGTAACTGGTCTTCAGGGCGAGCACCGTCTCCTTCCAGGTCTGACGCCGCGGCTCCCCACAGCTTTGCTGCTGCAGCATGAGGGGAGGCCTCCAGAGCCGCGCCGCACCCCCACCCCCAGACCCGGGAAGGTTTCAGCGGGTGCCTCCCCTCGGGCTGTGCCCTGGTCCTCATGGGTCCCGTCTGCCAGGGATGGGGCAGGAGGCCGAGCACTTGGCAAGTGGCAGGGATACGCCCACCGCACCGCAGGCCACTGGGAAGCTCAAGGGTCGAGAAGAGAATGACCCACATGGAGAAAAGTCTAGAGACCTCATCCTGTGAAAAAACGATTAAAGAAACCGGTCGTACGGAGCCTACGACAAAGGACTCGGAAGGTCCCCCGTGGTCTGAAGGGCTCTCGCACAGCCAGGATGTACAACAGAGGCCCCTGGCAGGGGGCCCCGAGAGGCAGACGATGACTCACACGAGTAATAGGATCTTACGGCTGGAAGGGAATCTTGTGGTTTCTCAGTTCAAGTTCTTCATTTCTCAGGCAGGAAGCCGAGACCCAGAGAAACTGTTCCTCCCCAGAATTACGTAACTGGTCGGTGGCAGAAGCGGGGTTAGCTGGAGGTTCATCTCGTCCACCCAGCCCTGCCCCCTGTACCCTGTGCCGCCAGGGAGGACTTCCCACAAGCGGAGGAAGCCCCACGTGCGGCGAGCGGCTTCAGAGAACGTGCTGAAGCTGAAACCATCTCAGAGCCCTTGCAGACGAGAGACTTCCTACCAGGTGGGGAGTTGCATTAGCTCGGGAATGACAAACGTGCAGTACGTGCACACAGACTCCCGCCCTCCGGGACCCTGTCGGGCGTGCGGCAGTCATGATGACACATTCTTCCCACGGAGTCCGCAGGCAGCACGACGCGCAAGTGACTCGGGCCAATTAATTGAGGTTGGGAGTCAAGACGAAGCCTATTAGCCATTCCTGCCCTAGACAACCCTAAGATCCTCCCCACATCACAAACGAATTATAAATGTGGATGGAAAGAATGAGTGGAGTATGGGATAAAGGAGGCCAATGAACGGAGTCGACTCGTGTGTGTGGGAAACACGCCAGCTTCCTGCAAACGAGACTTCTTCCAGCCTCCTTTCCTCGGCCCTGCCCTCGGGGTGCGGCTCGGGGGAGGCGTCAGAGCTGAAAAGAAGGCGAGGTCGGCAGAAAGGAGGAAGGTCGCGGCCAAGGATGCACCGAACATCACGACTTTGGCCAAATAAGTCAGTCTCACACCGTTGGCCGCTGGAACGATCCTGTTCTTCGGGATATCTAAGGATAAAGCGAAAACCCTGGCCTCAGAGTTCTTCAGATGCAAGGAACAGAAACCAGCTCTGGTTTTAACTAAAGCAGGAGAAGGAAATGTTCAGAAAGTTGTAGGTAGCTCAGGGTCCCTGTCAGTTCAGTCTGCTGTAAAAGAGTACCGTCGTCTGGGCAAATTAGACACCACAGACATTTATTGCTCGTGGTTCTGGAGGTTGGGAAGTCTAAGGTCAAGGCGCTGGCTGGCTCGGTGTCTGGTGAGAGCCTGTTTCCTGGTTCATGGACAGACACCCAGCTTCCCACTATGTCCTCATGGGGCAGAAGGGGTGAGGGAGCTCTCTGGGGTCTCTTTTCTAAGGGGACTCCCCCCACTCATGGGGCTCCACCTTGGGACCTCGTCTCCTCCCAAAGTTCCCACCTCCAAATACCATCACTTTGGGAACGAGTTTTCAGCCTATGAACTTGAGGGGGACACAAATATTCAGTGCATAACATTTGAGAACCAAAGAAAACACCAAGGAACCGGGACACAGCCAGGTGGCTTTGGGACAACCTCCTCAGGGCCACCATGGAATAAATCTGTTCTGTTGCTGTTCCCCGATGGCTCCCTGGAGGTTAAAATTCCCAACAAGCAGATCTAGGTTGATCAGCTTAGCTGGGGTCAAGAATCCTCCCTCCAGGGGATGGAGGAGGGTTGCAAAACATCTTGTCAGAAGGGGTATTGGCCTAACAAAATCCGGGATAAAAGTTTGAACTGGCATAGGTAGGGGAGGAAATGTGCGCAGGTGTCCATTCGGTCAGTGTTGTCCACTCACCCGCTGCCCCCCGGCGCC